CCCCCCCCCCCCCCCCAATCTGCCCTGGCCACATACAAGTGTTATATTTCCCCTGGGAGAATTGCCATTCTCTCAGTAGAAATGATAAGTGTACAAACACTCACTAGATTTCTCCTGCAGGAAACATGCCTCTTCTAGGAGATCTTCCAGATAAGAACTTGGAAGATCTCCCTTGCAAGAAAGTTTGTCTTGCAAAAGTGAATGCTGTTATACTCCCCTCCCAATCTGGTCGGGTCTGAGAGGGGAGCAGAAACAGCTGCTTCCTGACTCTTCCCTAAACCAAGGATTACCTGGTTTGGGGAAGGTGTTGGGACCTTTGCTGTGCTGTTCCCCTCCCAGTAAAGTATACAGGCCAGCATGGTGCCTCTTACACACTGATCAAGAGCCTGCTGGAAAGTGGTGACTGCATCTCATTTTTGGAGAGTTTACATACTGTTTCCCAACACAACTACCGAGCAGTGTGGCTAGATTCTTCATTTGATCACATCTGACAAAATTAGATGTTTTTCTTATTGCCTCAGTCCCATGATTCCACAAGATACCTGAGAATTTCAGCTTTCATTTCTTTTCAAAAGCAAGGCCTTGTTCTCATGATTATGAAGAAAAGATGGCAAAGGTAATCCAAGGATAAAATAGTAGAAAGCAAATAAAAAGTGATGATGTATTTCTATGAAATGTTTTGCAATTTTTAAGCCAGCCTAATTATTTTTGGGGACCTTCCTTATGATTTCTGGATGCTAATCAGTCAACAATTCTGAGTCAGTGTGGAAAGGGCCATGACCCTACTCTCACCCTCTTTAGAATTTTACCTTTCCTTTCAGAAGTAATAATGCTATAGCTTCTGTAGTCTTTCCATCATGCAAGGGCTATGACAGTCATTTTCTGATGCTAGTTACAGTCAGGTACAGAAAACTGGACTAGGGGGGCCTTCAGTCTGAATCAGTCTGGCAACACCCATGTTTCAGGTGTGGGGAAAGAAGTTGCTTGGAATTTCTTATTCCATGTGTTCTTTTTATGATCAGTACAGGAGACAAGCATTGATGTCTCATTTCCAGAAAACACATAAGTTCAGGATAGCATTTACAGACATGCTTAAACCAGTGTACACACGTATTGTTAAACACATTTTAAAGTGCTAAGCCTTATTAAGGACAGATAATTAAAGACGATCACATTTTGTGAGTTTCTGGACCAACTATACTTTGTAATACTAGCCCATTTAAAAGTGGTGATCTATAAAGATGTGTAATCTTTTCATATATACATAGAAGTAAGCTTTTTAAAATTAAGAATGGGACATATTAATATGAAAGGAAAAGGTGAAAGTGCCTGAGAGAAGATTTAGGGTAAAAATAAATTAGTATTTAGTATTAGTACAGAAAAATATGGAAAATATAGGCAGATATTAGGGGTGTGTGAAACGGGCCCTATTTGATTTGGATTTGGATTTGGTGCAAATCAGGGACAGTGATTCCGTTCATTGCTTCAGATCACTGTCCCCAATTTGACTTGGCCAAATCCTAATCTGAAGATTCGATGCTGATTCAGGGAATCAGTGATTTGGCCATAGACATAGCTTTAAGTGTTTTTTCTACATATCTCGAGGTACCAGGCATGGTTCTTGAATGTTGCAATGCTGGGATGGATGGAGTGTCCTGCAGGAGTGCGGGCAGCTCCCCAGTGCACTTGGCAACAAACCCAAAAGTGGGCCAGAAGTACTTCTGGTCGACTTCTGGGTCAACTGGGGATCATGCTGGGCCCCCCCTCCCATGCCCTCTTGGCTCAGTGATCAGTTATTGAGGGTCCCTAGGTGGCCCCCCAGACCCAGGAGGTACCAGTTGCTGAGCCAGGGGGGGTGTGAGGGAGCCCCCTGTGCTCTCCCTGGCAGCCCAGGAAGTGGACCAGAAGTGCTTCTGGTCCACTTCTGGGTCTGCTACTGAGCACGCTGGGGAGTCCCCTGTGCTCCTGTGGGATGCTCCATCCGCCCCAGCATCACAGCATTCATGAGCTGCCTGGTACCTTGAGGTATGTAGAAAAAACATTTAAAGCTGTGTCTATGTCCAAATCTCTGAATCTTTCTGAAACTCTCTGAATCAATTTAGAGGGTTCTGATTTGATTCGGAGAGATTAAAGGGTCTCCTGATTCGATTCAGATTCGGAGATTTGTCCACTGAATTGGGTTGAATCTCTGCTGAATCGAATCAGGGACCGAAGCTTTGCACAGCCCTAGTAGATATCATGCTCTTTGTTTATGTTTTGGTCTGAATTGTTTGTTTCTAGTAGGAGCTCTTTAGGACACGGTTCTTTAAGGTGGATACCCTATTTCATTTTTTTAGTATTAACAGGTCTCTTCTCTAAGGTCTCTGAAATATGGTGTTTTTCCTAAAGCCACAGCAGTAAACTAATATATTCCACTGAGGGTGGTTGAAATTGCTTGGGAATTTCAACTACCATTTTAAACATAATAAATTTCTAATCCCCACTGTTGTGGAGAAAAGCTTTGAAAAATTTACCCTTAAAGGGACAGGGCTCAGAAGCAACTAGGTAGAACCTATTTAAAAAAAAAAATGTATCTAATCTATTAGATTTAGGGCCTGAACTCTTATTTTTTCAGTGTTTAGTATTGGAAATCTTTGTGTCTCTGAAAATCATTTAAATCATTTACACTATGAATTGGGAAGATATAATTTGTAAGAAAAAGTATTCCAGTAATAAAATAGTTGATAATCTGTAACAGTAAGTACAAGGCAGGCTGGCAGCTGCCAAACTGTTCATCCCTCCAGCAGCTGACAGAATTAACATTGTCCTGTTGTCTTTATTTTTAAATTTGTTAAAACAGTATGTATTAAAATATATAAAAATTGATTGCAGTGTTTAAAATATCCTTATTTTTTAATTGCATTTTGATTATTATCATCTTTCTTTTACTCCTTCATGTCTGTCTCTTCTATGTTTTTTTTTATTTTATGGGCCTTTTTTGTTGTCAGCTTTCCCTCACTCAGAATTGTAGCACTTGTTTCTTTAGTTTCTTGACGCAAATCCTGTTGTTGTTGAATGTGTGGCTTAAAGCAGTCCTTTGTACAGCTGAAAGAAATTAGCTAAATAGCACTGTTTTAATTAATTTCAGGACCGCCTTTTCTTCGTCATGGAATATGTAAATGGAGGAGATCTAATGTTTCAAATTCAGCGCTCGCGCAAATTTGACGAGCCTCGATCCCGTTTCTATGCTGCAGAGGTCACATCAGCACTCATGTTTCTTCATCAACATGGCGTCATCTACAGGTACTTTTTTGATTAGAAATAAAGTATTCTTGAGGCGCAGGGCTCATTTTGGCTGAAATCCTCTGTCTCCTAGCAACCAAATTTAGATTCGTTGTTTGTTCCAATTTGCTTACATAGAACTTTTTTTGGCTGTTTATCATTCAGAATGTTAACATTTGAATAGTCTCTGCAGCAATCTCCAGCTGTGTGTGCCAGTTTTGTATTATAGTACAAATAAAGCTTTTTTTAAAAGCTTGGCACATTGCGACCTAGAGGTGACCTTTGTGCAGATCAGTGCAATCTCTTCACTTTCCTCTCTATGCCATAGATTTCCTCTCGTTTTCGAACTCCCTGCCACTTCCTGAGTTTGTTTGTCCTAGTTGTCTCCAGTCTGATAGGACCGGGATAGTAGTTTGAAATGCTTTGCTTTATGCCCTTTCCTTTCAACTGTTAGGGTGAGTTTCAGTCACTAACAGGAAGTGGGGTTTTTTGCAGACAATATGAATTTACTTATTACTGCTCAAAATTATCATCTGAATGAAAACAAATCTAAATAAAAAACCTAAAAATGTGTGTTTTTGTTGCACCGTAAAGAGTACATTTAGAAATAAATATTTATTATTAAAAACAAGGAACTACTTGGGAATTTTTCACCCTGCTCTCCTTGTGTTTATTGAGTCCTTTATCTTGTCGTTTCACCCTTCCTCTCTTTTTAAATTATTTTTGGCAGCTTGTCACTACTTGTGATAAATCCAGGCTGTCAGAAGGAGAGTAGATGTAGGGTTTGAGATGTGGGCCTGACCTCCCTTACTGAAGAAGACTCTAAGCCTGCTGGGGACCATAGATATAATAGGGGTTTCTGATATCCTTACTCTATTTCTAATTTTCAGGCAACCTTTTTTTGGAAGTGGAGGGGGAAAGTGAAAAGTAATTCTACTTTTCTAAAGCAAAAACTTTCTGGGTAAGGACATGAACTTTGAAATATGCCTAGATGCACTTTCAAAGGAGCTTGGTAGACATGCTTGAAGAAAAAAACAGTGAAAGCCAGAGAAGCTCAGCACTAGAGTTGGTCAATAATTTTCTTTTAAAAATTGATGGAAAATTGGATATGATGAAAACTTGGCTTTCCAACTAAAAGAATGTATCTACAAGGAGTGTTTGCTTTCCATAGACAACTTTGACTTCTCATCAGAGCATGACCATCTGAAATTTTTCATGGAAGCCCGACACTTCCTTTGAAAATTTTCATTTGGTCAGAAACAAAGTATATCTTCAGAAAACAGTTTAACTGAGAATAATTTAACTAACTTTAGTATCAAGAGTCTTTAGTTTCTTTTGGCTCCAAGGCAATGAAGCACTCAATAATTCTAGCAGACTGAGAGTTGTACTAATATTTAATTAGTTCATCAAGTGCACCTTGAACCCTTTCTTTCTGATGGCTTAATATTTCTGGGTACTAAATCCCTACAAATCATATCTTTACTGATTGAAAAAGGGATTTTCTCATTAATTTCCAAAGTAAATAGATTAAATAATCACTCCCTGGATATTTCACAATTTTACACAGAGACTTTTTGGGAAGGATGAAGTAATAGTGGGTGCCCAAGATGGGTAGGTGAAATTTACATACTGAGTAATTAGCAGTTAATTTGCTGATTTCAATTAATCAAAGTTAAAAGGTCATTTCTCAGAGAAATTACCTGGAGGGTATGAATGCACATTTATTAATGCGCCTTAGATACTGCACATTTAGTTTACTACTTCCATAATAATGGACTAACTAAATGTCCAGTACCTAAAGTTAGTGTGCATTAGCACTGGCACATGGTTAATTAGTGATGCTTATTGTGCATTAGCCTAATAACACTGTGCAGTAGATTATTATCATGGTTTGTGCTATGACACTCTACTGAGCAGTGTTATTAGGCCAATTAGCAGTAAGTGTCTTGTGTAGATGCACCTGGAGGGAGCAAAATCCGAGTAGATACAATTACAATCCCCTTTGCTTATATGTGCATGTATACAGCCTTCTTCCCTCTCCTCTCTTCTCTCTTTCTTATATATGTACTACTGTGTTTTGTCTCTAAAGTACTTTGGATCACTTCACACACTCATTTTAGTTATGTCTTTTTATCACACCCTAAATGTTTGGCTCCCAGGAGTAATGTCATGATGAGGGAGTGATACTTAGTGATTTAAAGCTTGCTGTGATCATCTTAACCTCTGACTTAGAGCTTATGCTGCCAGAGCTCAGGCATACTGTAGTAAAACATTAAAATTGTGGGTGATATGTTGTGCATTAGCCTAATTAAATTAGTTTCAGAGGAGGAAAGAAAACAAGAAACAGGATGAATTGTGGGAAGAAAGTAAGCAGATCCACTAAGCATGCAGTCCTTCATGCTATTTTATTTTAACACTGTTTTTCAACCTGAGTATTCTTTTATCCAAAATCATTCCTTCCTCACCTGAAGGACTCTGTGACCTTAAAAATCTATGAAATGTAAGTTTCAGTAACTTTATAAAACCACAGTTAGCAAAATGAGGTTTGAAAGTATCTAACCCATAATATATCATGAGAAAAAGGTCATGGTTTTTACAACTTTTGCTACAGGATTAAAGAAAGTTAGAGTATCCATCCTTATCAACTGTATATCAGAATATAGCCATCTCATAGTGAACCTAGCCAGCATGAGTATTTGAAACATTGCACTGAATCATATTACTGCAGAGTGATAAAAACACTAGATTATAATTCATTCATTTATATTTCCAAAGCGCTGATGTGGCCCGGCAAACCCAACACCTCACGCCACCAGTCAGCACTTGGATTTCTTTTCCTAAGCAACAAGAGATTGCACAGGTCCAAAATGCTTTACATGGCATAAGAGGTGAAAATTATGTCAATTGTTCCACTGTTCACACAGATCTTATGATTCCAGAAGTTCTCTTAAAGGTGACTCCCTGAGTGATCAGGGAGTGAGTGAACAGGGGCAGCAAACAAGGGAAGCCATTTGCAAGCAGTTTGCAAATCAGTTTGCCCCCACCCACACCTCTGAGTGGGAGCTTTTAAGCTTGGTGAGAGGAAGCAGGGAAAAAGAAACCTTTCAGGGCCAAGGAGCAGTAAACAAGCCATCTTACAAGTGAGTTTGCCTAGGAAGGTGTACTTGGAAAAAGGGCAGTAAGAGAGAGGAGGCAGATTAATAGACCCAGGGGAAATGGCTGAAGGACATTGCAAATCCAGAGCCACTGCCACTACCTCTGCTTGCTCTGCTGAGGTGTCTGTCCATTGAGGCTTCCACTCAGGTCCAGGTTTGTCAATGTGAAGACTTAGGCTTTCAGGTTCCTTCCAGTGATTGCCAATTTGGAGAGTGCCTGTGATGTGAGCAGTGCCTTCTGGTAGTGTCTCTCAGGGAGCAGGCAAGAGAGCTACAGGAGGAGGTGGTGAGGCTCCAAAGCATCCTCTGCCATGAGGAGTTCATCAATTCAGTGCTGGAGGAGACCACCAGGGCTGTGGAGAAAGAACTGCCAAAGGCAGCGCTAGAGAAGGGAGAGGACATGGACTCTGAGGAAGGTAGAAGCTAGAAGCTTGTGACTTCTGGCAGCAAGTAGAAATCTTCATCTCCACCTGCAGCAGTTTGTCTGGAGAACAGATATGGAGACATAGCAACAGAAAGACAGGAGCATGTTCCACTGGTGGAAGAAGACAGGCCAGGCCTCCCCAAAGTAGGAAGGATTGAGACCCCCCCCGCCACCAAGAAGAAGCAATGGCTGGTGGTAGTTGGAGACTTCCTTCTGCTGACCTGACCTATTTTCTTACGAGGTCTGCTGCTGGATCCAAGATGTCATGGAGGGATTACAGAGACTCATCCAGCCCTCTGAATACTACCCCATGCTGCTTATCCATGTGGGCACAAATGATACCGCCAGGGGAGGCCCTGAGCAAATCAAAAGGGACTACAGGCCTCCAGGTTAAGGGTGAGCAGGACAGGGGCTCAGGTGGTATTCGCCTTAATCCTTCCAGTCAAGGGAAAGGGCCTGGGCAGGAGTGGGCGCTTCCTGAAGATCAATTCATGGCTGTGCAGGTGGTGTCACCAGCAGGTCTTTGGTTTCTTTGACCACAGTATGATCAATGTTCCCTCTAAGCGTTTAGCAGTCCATAAGCAATCCTGGCTGGGAGTGCGCAGGTATCTCTCCCGTCCTGCAGAAACCTCTGGCTGGTTTGGGGTAGGTGGCAAATGGCCAGATGCAAAGCCGACAGCAGTAGCAGGTACCCCCTTGCTACGGCACTGGGCATCCCTCCCAGGCTGGTGCCCGAGGGCCATGGCCCCCTACTGCCCCCTCTCCCCCATTGGTACGCCACTGTGTGCATGGCATTAAAAAGTTATTGTGTGGCATGATTACATATGCAGCTTAAAGGGAAATGCTAGGTATGATGTTCTAAGAAGGAAGATTGCTAGGAAGAGATGGGATCTACCTGCTGAAGAGAAGGAAGATCATCTTCATGGACAGGCTTGCTAACCTAGTGAGGAGGGCTTTAAGTTAAGTTTGCTGGGGGACGAAGACCAAAGCCCTGAGGTAAGTGGGGAAGTGGGGGACTTGAAGGAAGTGCAAGTAAGAGTAAGCAGCAGGGGTGGTATTCTTATTCTTCCTGAGAAATCAGGGCAATTGGCTAGTTACCTTAGGTGCCTGTACATGAATGCATAGAGCCTGGGAAACAAGTAGGAAAAACTGGAAGTCCTTGCACAGTCACGGAACTATGATGTGATTGGAATAACAGAGACTCAGTGGGATAGCTCACATGACTGGAGCATTGTCATGAATAGGTACAAACTATTCAGAAAGGACAGGCAGGGGAGAAGAGGAGGAAGAATTCTACTTTATGTAAAAGAGCTATATGATTGCTCAGAGCTCCCGTATGAAACTGGAGATAAGTGAGTTGAAAGTCTTTGGGTTAGGTTCAGAGAAGAGAGCAACAGGGGTAATGTTGTAGTAGGGGTCTGCTATAGACCACCAGACCACAA